TTCTGAGAATTTGTATGAGTTGCCTTTTTTTCCCCCTTTCTTACTTTATTTTAATATATATTTACAGTGCAGGAATATCTTGCTCCTTATAGAAGATGAGACATAAACTAATTAAATCTCACCTTTTTCAGATCTCAAAGTAGTACTCCTTCCTTTGCGATTTTATTTCTTGCTCCAACACCTTGGTAAGGGCTCTGCGGGTGCCATCGCCACCTATCAACAGACAACTGTTCTCTGAGCCTGGGACTAGGGCTGTGAGATTAGCAGTTGATTGCCGGGCAGGATACCTCCTGGGATGGGATATTTTGCTTTGCAGAAAATTCTGTTTGAGAAATGAAAAGGATGATTAAATCCTGAGTTTGAGCATTTCTTTACTTCTCGAAAGATCAGAAGTACTTTTGTTTGCATTGTGCGTAGAGAGAACTGCAGGCAAATTGTATATGTAGTAGTATATTTAAAATATTTTTTTGCCATTTAGATTGAGTAGTAATAGTGCGTTTTAGTGCATTTTGGTACTTTAAGATTTTGATTACTGAATTGGTATTCCAACCTGGGTTTTTATAGCAATGAGTGTTCCATGAACACATATTCTAACTTGCTGTTGACGGCAAGCAAAATGTGGTAGTCAAAATTAGAGCAGGAAAGAGGTATAGATGAAAATTCCAGATATACAGTTCTACCATGATAAACTGTTTTTGTTTACTCTCTTCTTTCTGATCTATTACTTCAGAGGAAATCATTGAAAAAGTACAGTATGACTGTCTTCAGTTTATACTTGCAAATGAAGTTATAAGGATTACTAGAATTTTGTTTTCTGAAAATTATCAGTTAAAATTTAATGTTTACTTTGAGGTTTTCTAGTCATAACTACAGGTTGTAACTGAAGTCATAACTTCAGTCTTTCTAGTTTAGCCTTCCAGAGTTAGGCAAAACAGTGGTTCTTTTGTTGGTTTTTTGTTTGTGTGTTTTTTCATGCTTTGATAAATTTTAAAGGCTCATAGTGACTAGGAAGTACAACTCGTGTACATGAGGAAAGACAGCCAAAAAGTAAAGGTTAACAAGTGAAGTTGTATTTTATTCTGAGCTTACATTTAATTGTTTAATTTACTTTTTTTGCTGATAGAATATTAAATATTTTCTATTTGATAATGAGACCAAAGTCAGCAGTGCTTTTAATTTCCATTCCACTTTGTGACTCTTTCTGCAAGAAGAGGTTGACAAAGGGCTTTTTTTAGTATCTTGAATATTGTATGGGCAATTTGTGTTTTTTTAAAAAAACACTTTTATACTTAGTGCGTATTACCAGTGATAGCCAATTTCCGTAGCTTTTTTTAAAGACAAGAAAGGTTAAATGACACAGGGGTTTTTGTAATTAAAGAAGGTTTAAAAGAAGCTGACCTCTAAAAGCCTGCATTAACTGATTAAAAACAAGGAAGTTGCCATTTTAATAAATATATATACATATATGTTTTTTCTTGGCTGTGGCCAGTAACACTATTCTGGAGGAATTTCACTAGAGAATAAATTATATTGGCAAGAGGCATTTATTTTTAATTGATCTCAGGTAGTTATTTGCGTATAATTCTAGCATGAAGGCTTAAAACACATTTGTAAAATGTCCTAATACATTGCATATATGTATGTATAATTATTTCTGAATTCTATTTAGACCTTGTTATAGTGTCTTGTGTTGGTGAATTACTCTAGGTTATTTTTTTTTCTTCTTTTTCCTTCTGGTATCTTGTATGCTTAATATTATACCTCAATTTACTGACTGTGCCCTTGGGGTATTTTGTTGTTCAAGCATAAATCGGATTGTCTACATTTTTCTCTATGTCATACATTAAATTGTATTTCTGTCATATCCTCTCACGTTTGACTCCTTTCTATTTTAAAAAAAAGTCTTTTGCAACTTGATTCACGTGAAAGATATTTGAGCTCTTGAGTCACTCAGTGCCTGTCTTTGGAGTCCTTCTGCTTCTTTATTTCTTCTCTCTCTCTCTCTCTCTCTCTCTTTTTTTTTTTTTTTTTCCCCTATTCCTCTGATTTGTGTTTGGGGTAACATTTTCACACCAAACTGCCTGGGTCACAGTTAGTTCTCTTTCCAGGGTAGTTGCAGTGACAGTGAAACTCTGTGTTCAGAATCCAGTTTAATTGCCTTATATTTATTTGTGTTGAATTTCACCTGCCATCAGTCTGTTCATTCTTTCTTCCATAGCTTTCAGTTATTAAAATTGTAGCATATTCAGCATGTGACATTTACTAATAAGTATTACTCATAAACTTTCATGTGTTACTTTGATTTGGACTTTGCATAAAGTTATTGCTTATTTCTTCCTTTTGGGCAATTTCTGATCAATGAAAGTGTGTAGCCCTAGACAAGGTTAATTTTGTTTGTTTTGTTAAATATGCAGCTAAACATATTTTGCACATATTTTCCAAAAGCTCAAATAGATTAGAAAGTTAAAATGCCATTTATTTACACTTCACAAACTTGTCTTTATCTCTTAATGCTCTTAGAGTTTTATAATTCTCTAATTATTTTGTTCAATTTCCTTGTAGCTCGGAGACAAGTGCTCTCAGATTTTTGATTCCTAGAATTCATCCCACTGTTTTATTTATAAAAAGAGCTGCAGTGTTTGTTACCTTCCAGTGCTCTCATGGAGGAGTTTATTCTGAGGAAAGATTGTGTATATTGTCAGTTTAGTGGATTTTTTTTCCCTCCCCCTCTCCTCTCCTCCAAGAATCTCAAATGGATTCTCACTTGATCTTAGGTATGTTTCCATACCCAGAAACTCCTCATGCTTATTTTCTGATAATACCTTTTTTTTCTGGTCCCCTTAAATTACTCCTCCTACTCCCGTGTGGTTCTTGGTGGTTCTAAAAGGCTTTTGCAGGCTTTTGTTTTAAAAATTGTTAGTGTTTTTTTTTTTTCTTGTTCTTGAATATTTGGTCTCTGACTTCTGTCTTTGATATCTTTAGTGTCTATCTCAGTGTTTAACCAAAACTTATTTAGAAAACTTTCAGCATAAATTTAGAGCTGGAAAATAAAAATTTATCCAGAATAGTCATTGGGAATTTTTTTCTGTGTTTCTTCCCATGCCTAAGAGTTCGGGCATGTTCATAAATTTGGCAATTGCAACCTGCAAAACCTAAGTACACCTGATTTTTTTTTTTTTTTTTTTTTTAGTACTTTACAGCATTTGTCATTATCAGCATGCATGAACAGTGGGTTTGCTAAAGACATGTAACTGATGTCTGACTAAGAAGTTTGCCTTAGTTTTGAAGAGTTAACAGGAAAATAGTGTCATGGTTTGTTCATTTGAGCTTGGCTGGGTTTCTGCTCTGCCCTGTGCTGAAACAGGGCTGTTGTTACACTCCAAGCTCTAGCAGCTTATCGAGTCAAGAGCGTCACGTTCCTGATCTTTCCAGAAATACTCATTCGAAAAGAAAATAAGTAGTAGTCTATTAGTTCTATTTTCACTTTGTTTCTCTGTGCATCAGTTTTAGATAATTTTCAGAGGCTGCAACAGAATGCTAGTAATCTTTTTGAAGGAAGCAAGATCTAGCTGGAGTGACCTTTCTTCTCTTTTGACTTCACTAGTGAGGAAAGATCAAGCAAAGTGGAGCTCTATTTCACTCCTACACTGTTCAGAGAGTAGAAGTGCCTTGTGCTCTCATGTTTTTTTACCTCCTCCCCCTTGTACTACATGGTGAGGAAGAAACTTGCTCATAATATGGTTCTGGCTCATGGTGAGGTCATTCTCCTCACTGTGGAGGAATGCAAGGAACTTAGTAAGCTATGTCATCTCCCCCTTCCTGCAGGTTAACGTCCTTGTTGCTGGCGTTGCCCTCTCCAAGGTGAAATGGGTCCTGCTTTACACTTGTTTTTAAGGACTATTTTTTCTTGTTCTGTCTTGCATATAGCAACTTCCTGATGAAAAGCTCTAGTTAAAAGGAGGACTGAACAAGAGAAGAACCCAGGGTATACCGCCATGCTTCTTTCCCCATCTCTCAGAGTAGGATTTTGTGGCTTTTGGCTTTTAGAGAGGGTCTTCAAAAACCATAGACCTAGGCTTTCCCTGTCACAGAGGTTGTTTATGTTTCCTGGAAAGCTTTTGGCTAGAGTTTGCAAAGAGGTTAAGGACAATCTCACTGGTATTTTTAATAGGAAAATGAAACTCCGAGCAGCTTTTGTATCTACTTACATTGCCCTGAGTAGAACCTAACAGTAAATTCCCCCTTGTATTTGTTGTTTTTCTTGCTCTCCCTGTTTGAACTCTCAAGGTTATTCAGTTATTTTCCTCACAATTTCATTAGGAATTTTGCCAAAAACATCCTTTCTAGGCAGCTGTCTCTGGACCTTTGGAGGCCAGCACTAATGTGCTTCCAGTCTGTAGGGGGTGTTTGGCACAAAATTATGAACTAGGCCCTCAGTGCTTCAGGGGAGAGGCAAGAAGAGATCTCAAACATTTTACCACACCCAAGTGCTCTATGAGCACTGAGCTCTTTTTGCTGCTCTCGGAGCATTTGGAGGCTTCTATCTCTTGTACCTGCTTTGTCCCGGTGCAAGGTCTGTTAGCAGCAACAAATTGTTGATGTGAGAGACTTAGAGTTGTTGTTTTTCCATTAAACAAATGTTGCTTTGCAGGAAAGCTTTTGCATGTACAAGGGGGAAAGTAATTCTAGCAGTCTTAAACTATTTGAGTGCAATTCTTTTAATGAGGCATTGATTGGTGTTTTCTATTTTAAGGTATTGCTTGAAGGTGCTGTAGTGTTGCTGGTATGTACCTCATGTAAAATTGATAGAAATGTTAAATGTTTTGCTGAAACAAATATTGAGAGGAGTTCAGTGCATCAGGAGGGAAAAGAAGGAAAGGCTTTTTGGTGCTTTCTTTTTCCTTCGCTTAACAGTACAGGCAACTGCTGCACCATACACATACATTTTCTATTTGTCAGACTAACCGCTCCTCTTGTTTGCCTGAACTGTCTCCCTGCAGCCTCCCACGCAGAACCTGCCGATGGGCCCGGGCGGGCTGAGCCAGAGCGGCCCCGCGGCGGCGCCGCGCGCGCCGCACAGCCTCTCCTCGGACGGCATGGTGGCGGGGGGCCCTCCCGCGCCGCACATGCAGGGCCAGATGAACGGCCAGATGCCGGGTAAGTTTTTCTCCTCCAAGACATTAACACCGGCGTTGCTTAGCGACGGAAACGACATGGGGGCTCAGGGGATACGAGATTGTTGATGACAAAACTGCTTTGAATGCCCCCGAGTACAGGCGCTCTTAGAGTTTGTTAGCTACAGAGCTACGTGACCTGTATTCAGTGTTTATCAGGCTGCCCTTGGGCTTTGATGGAGCTGACACACAGCATTCTTCTGATGAGCAGAACTGGCTAAATTTAGTCTGTTTGAAACCATGCAGTACAGCTGGCTTTGGAAGGCTTATTGGAGAATGCTATTGGCCTGTGGCTGAATGAATACAAATCCTTCCCTGAAAAGATAATGTGAAATCATCGTGACTAAATAATTAGGTAGTAATAAAATAGATATGTCTTTAAGAGGATGTTTCAAGCTTGGATAAACTTAAAAAAAATGAATCACTCTTACACAGAAAGCCATCCCGTTTCCGCTAATCTCCTGTGTTCTTTAGTGTTGGAGACATGTTGAAATGGTGAGGGATTTGTAAAGAAATGGCCTCCAGATCATTGTTCAAGGTGTAAGTTTTAAGTCAGTTTTTATACCAGCCTGTTTTGTAATAAAAATAAAAGTACTTGAAAAGTCCAAAGAAACAAAGCAATGAAGCAAGATGATAAAATTCCACATTGTGCCAGCCTGGCTTTGGAGTAACTACTCCCTTCAGTAGTCATAGCAGAGTGGAGGGAGCCCCGGAAAAGCTTGCTGCTTTATAGAGAGGCTGTTTTCCAGCATTTCCGCTCATAAAGTCATATTGCCTACTTCGTGTGAATTGGTTTGGAACTTAAAATCGTGTTCCTAGGATTCCTTTTTTTAGGACTCCCTCACTTTTGTATATGGAGGAACTTACCATACCAAAGTTCTTCAAGGTACTGATTCTTCCAAGAAGTAAAACTGTTGTCAAAAATCTTTCAGAATTCACAAAGATGATCTCAATAGCAATAAACATAGTAAGTCACTATGCAAAATTTAAAATATGAAAGTTAAAAAAAAAAAAAAAAAAGCTGCAGTCTCTAATTTCCCTTCAAATCTCAATAAAATGGACCTGATAATATTAGTGGCAACTTTTCTGAGAAAATGATTTGAAGAGCTGCAGACACTCCATGCAACAAGCATAATAAATGATCTAGAGAAGTTAGTTTCATTATGCATTTTGGTCATGGTCTGCTTTAGGAAGTGGAAAGACCGATACATGCTGCTCCCTAAGTAGAGGCTGAGGAGTCTCCTATCCATCCAAGATCCATCATCTCCCATGGAGAATAGCATTGCCTCTTGCAGATCAGTCTCTTTGACCTTCTAGTGTAATCATATTATTGTTATTATAATGATCTTTTCCAAGGAGAAGGATTACTAAGTCACAATGTGAGCATAATGACTTCATTGCAGAATCACAAGGGAGAAAAGCCACTGCTTAAACATACATATTTTGTAATTAGATAGAGTAAGAAGAGAGCCCTTATGAAAATATGTGAAAGGTAAATAGATTTGTTCGGGCATTCACCTAGACAGATATTGAAATACCGTTTCCATCTAAACTTTAATTTAGCCTTTCTTCCAACATATTCTCTTTTTTTGAATGTCTCTTTCTTCCTTTTTCTGTGTAAGGTTGTCTCTGAGGATGTAAAGATAAACAGCTTAAGATGAGGGTATCTCTAATATGGGGAAGGCATGCTAAAATCATTCCATAGTTACACTCTGGAGAAGGGAAAACAGAATTGCCTTATTAAGGGGATAGCTAAATATTTTTTTTAAGTGTGTAGTAGTTTGGCTGTACTTGCACCTTTTTGTGTTTCATAGATACATACTTGTAATCATTCATTCTGTGTATGCATTTGTTTTCTGTTTATAGGACCCTTACCGTATAAAAATATTTAATTGCTTTTTAATGGAAGCTAGATACAAAAATTAAAATATCTGTTCAAATAGAGCTAAGCCATTAATGTGTAAACAAAGAGAATTCTGTGAAAACAACCAAAAGTTGACCTGCCTGGAAGAAATAAAATGCAGGTTTTTGAAGACAGGTAACAATATGCCCTTGCCAGGGAAGGCAGTTGCCACAGACCTTTCGAGGCTCTGGTGGAGTTGAATCTGTGGCGGATTATGGCTTTAACCTGGAGGGGGGGGTGGGTGGAAAAAAAGACTGTCTGTTTTAGCACTGGTACCTGCCCTTCCTGGATAATCACAGTCTCACAGAATGGTTGAGGTTGGAAGGGACCTCTAGAGGTCCTCTAATCCAACCCCCCTACTCCAGCAGGGACACCTAGAGCACGTGGCACAGGGTGGCATCCAGGCAGGTTTGGAAGATCTCTAGAGAAGGAGACTTCACAAACTCTCTGAGCTGGGGCTCTGTCACCCTCACATGGAGATGGAAATAAAATATTATCACCAAGTATTTTGGTAAATTTTGTGATTAAAAACATTATGTTGTGTAAAACTTTCTCTTACTGTTTTTTGTTTGGAGGATTTTCTTCATACAGTAGACTCGGATTTTCTTGTCCTTGTCTCCCGTATTCTTGCTAAAAAACTTCTTGTTTTAACTCCGAGAACATGCATGTGTGATCTCTGCACTGTCGTTTTTTGCTTCCCTATTTTGTTTCTTTTATTACTTTCTAGTACTAATCCTGTGTCCTCCTTTACCTTCTTAGGGAAGCTATTGAAAAAGGAGTTCTCTCAGTCCTGTATTTTCTTAGCACCACAATCTGGAGCTTACTGCACCTTAGCTTTCCCTTAACACATTTAAGATGTTACTGCTGCGGATGGTCCCATTTATTTCCCCATTAAGCCACCTTGTTTGCTCTTCTAGACACTCTTCATTTGGAGAGGAGGCATTATAGATATCTGTAGTTCTGTGTCATGATTATAATCCTGTTTACTGAGATTTTTTTTTCTGTTTTTGTGATAGGTCTGCCTTTGTGCAATTAAGTAATATCTGCTTAATTTAATTTTGCTTTTTGTTCTGCAGTAAGAGTGAACTGTGCATATGATATTTTTATTATCCTTTTCGCTTGTTTTGGTAAGATAAGTGGCACTACTACTACTACTAGTTGTGGAACTGCTGGGGACAGTCCAATTCAGGGCTACAAGGATGATCAGAGGCCTGGAACATCCTCCTTATGAGGAGAGACTGAGGGAGCTGGGCCTGTTCAGCCTGGAGAAGAGAAGGCTGAGAGGGGACCTGATTGCCACGTGCTCTAGGTGACCCTGCGTGTGCAGGGGGGTTGGAGTAGATGAACTCTAGAGGTCCCTTCCAACCTTAAGCATTCTATGATTCTATGAAATAAGCTTATATGTTCATTTCAGCAAAATATCCTGAGAAGGGATAGAGGGGCTTCCTTAAACATATTCTCTGTTTCTTTATGTTGGCCTTCATTAGCGGTGATCCTTGACCATCATTATCTTTTCCTTCTGCATCTTTTTGTTTGCACAACAGTTGGTATTGCCTCTGTGCCATTGCGTACTGCTCTTCTAGTCTAAACCCCTGCTTTTGCCTTCATTCTGTCCTGGGTTGGTGCAGTTATTTCTTTGGCCAAATCAATACTCAGAAGTCTTTTTCATCGGAAGGCAGATAGCTTTTTCTGTATGTGGAGATATGTAACCAAGTCACCCTATCCTCCTGAAATTCTACTGGAATAGCTTCTTTTAGGTTCCTCCTCTAAGTTTTCTCTATTTCATAGGTCTTTGCATCTTATGTAACTAGAAAATTGTGATGTTTTTAGCCATGAGGGTGCAGACTCTATTTATCAACATGCCTGGTTTACAGTTGACCTACTCTGTCACATACTCTAGTTGTTCATAACTTCATAAATTCTTCGTATGGTGTTCATCATATGCATAATCCTTGCTTTTAACTATTGTGTGTGTGTGTGAGACAGATACTTTAATCTTACTGATTTTACTCACTGCTCGCTTCTCCTGGCTGAAGTAATGGCTAAACTGCTCAGACAGCACGCTGGCAAGCTTGTAAAGTTTGTGCTTTGTAAAATATCCATTGCTATTTGATGGCTGTCCTTTTGGTCATCCCCTCCCACATCAGTAATCATTAAATACACTCAAAAAATGCTAGCTATGGATTTGATGGTCAAACATCATTAGATATGCCTTTAGCCATGTCTGTTCTCTATGTACTTGTACCATATCAATGTTAATACTACCAGACCTTTGAAAAAATAATTATACTTTAGTTCAAATACACAAAAATGTTCTAGGTGGATTTTTTTAAACTACCGAGACTGCTGTACTCTCTTCAAGTGGAGTTCAAGTTGGAATTTGGGGTATGTTAAGCAAGTATTAAAAAGGCTAGCTGCTTGTATGACACAGGTATAAGATGGATCTTAAATGTAGAGTTTTGTTTTAACAGCTTCAGCTGCCCTACAAGAGAATTTATTTCGGAGTAGAACCGACCTTTGACATTTTCTAACTTTATTTCCTGTGCCACGTGCTCTAGATGTCCCTGCTTGAGCAGAGAGATTGGACTGGATGATCTCTAGAGGTCCCTTCCAACCTCAACCATTTTGTGATTCTGTGATTTTAGTGCTTACCTGGGTCAGAAAATTACTAGCAAATACTTTGTGTTCTAGCTTTATTTTAAAATAAGTGTATTTGATGACTTGATAAAGTTTCACGACTCAAAGTGACTATAATTACTTGGTTTATGATGCATAATGTAACACTGTTCCCCCACCCTCTTTCCTTTATTTTCTCCCAAGGACCTAACCATATGCCTATGCAAGGGCCTGGGCCTAACCAGCTCAACATGACAAACAGCTCCATGAACATGCCTTCCAGCAGCCACGGCTCCATGGGTGGCTACAGCCACTCGGTGCCCTCCTCACAGAGCGTGCCAGTGCAGTCTCAGATGACCATGAGCCAGGGGCAGCAAATGGGCAACTACGGCCCCAGGCCGAACATGAACATGCAGCCAAACCAAGGTCAGTGAAGCGCTTGCTACCTTCTATAAAAATGAAACACGTTTCACATAGGGACATGCTTTTGAAAGGTCGTCTTTTTTCCCTTTTTTTTTTCCTCTGAAATGTATTTGCCTTATGTTTTTAAAATTGTACATCTCCATCCTCCTATGTGTCACTGTGTTTGCAGACACTGAAGTGTTTTCAGATATTGCATGAAAATCTGGAATTGGACCTGTTTTCATGGGTTGTAAATTTGAGCAGCTGTTTATTTTTCTCAGATTTTACATTTGTAAGTATTACTGTTGTGCAAATTGATAAAATATTTCTCTCTACTCTTCAGTCTCTTGGGTATATCAGAAAATTAAAGCCAGGTAGCCCTCAGATTTTTATGCCTAATTAGTCTTAGTTCTTTGCGGCATGCTGTTTTAGCTCAGGATGTCTTTTAATCTTAAGAAATAAAAGTCTGTTCCAGGAAAAAACCTGTTACTCCCTACTGTTTTTAGGAGATGTCCTTGTGCATATAGTAAAATGCAAAACTAATTTTCAATCTTGGGCATTTGCATTGCATAAACAGATGATGTATCCTGTTGACAGTGTGGTCCTTTTTGAAGTGCAAGGACGTTGCAGTATTAAAATATTGCATTAGAGTCACAACAGGCCAAATTATTAAATTGTATCTATACTACTTATTCTCATAGATGTGCTTTATAAGCCAGCAAGCAGTATTTTCAGCTTGCTTGTTAAGTCTATTACTATACTGGATCCAAACATGCCACCCACTGGAAGACATGCTGTAGATTTTTTTTTCGTAATACTTGTGCCTTTTTATAGTAAGCATTTTTATTCAGTCTGTATGAATTCTTGTTAAAGACAGATTAGTTGAAGGATATGACTGGAGTTGAGCATTTTCTTCCTTTCTGCTGTAGGAGAAAATAGATTCCCTCTTTAAGACTCCTTTTGTGGTCCTTATAAAAATAGCATTCTAGTGGCATGGGTTCTTATTATCACAACATATCCTCACTGGAGGCAAAAGCTCTGTTTTGTTGCATAGATGTCAGTTGTTCGTGAGGGATGCTCTATTAGATCAGTTAGAGTTTTATAACAGACTAAAGAGTAAGGTAATGTGAGATCCAAAATAAGTCAGGAAGCCTGGCGTTTCTGCAGTTTTCTTACTGATAGTGAGAGCAGGAATTCTGAGTCTCACACATTTGCGTTGTTAATGGCATCATTCTTGAAATATGACGGTAAAGGAAAGAAAAAGTGGGCACGTAGCAGAGAATCATCACAACTGGGAATATTTTTATCTGTCTCTCCACATTCGTATATATCTATCCTGAGCAGTACATCATGGAATAATTTTATAAAATTTGTAAGACGCTTTAGAAAAGTCCTGTGCGTGTTGGGTTGAAGTTGCTAGTTGCAGAGAGTCAGCAGTAAATATGCAGTAGTTTGTATGAGGAAGCCATCCACTTGATTGCTCTACAGAAAACAGCTTTGTATGATTGGCTTACAATTTAGGACTAGTGATTCTCCCATCTCAAAAATAGTTCTTTACTCTTTCTGGTAATACTCCCTGGCTTTATTTTCAGTACTCTCTTCAAACTTGAAATTTGGAAATTAGGGAGAAAAGCACTTAGGAGGGTTCTGTTCTGAACAAATAATAGTATTGTAGTATCTTTGGGGAATAACGAATAAAGCAGTATTTTTAGACAGCATTCTAGACCAAATTTTTGGCTACAGAACAAAATCTCTTTCTAAACAGTTATATCATTGGAGTTGCTGGCATTGACTTGAGCATTGACTTAAGGTCACAGTAAGCTTTCGCATCAGGAGTCCTTCTCATTTTACCAAATTTGGATCCACTAGGCTGAGATTTTTCCATGTCAAATGTCTGTTTTATACTTTTTTGTGGCATTTTCACAGAAGCGTATTAAAAATGAATATTGCTGAAAACAGGTGAAAATTTATTACACATTTTAAATGTTACGCAAAAACATTATTACACAGAGCGCTTACATGAATGCAGGAGCGTAGGTTCTCCTTGCTTTATAGCAACACTTCGAAATTTGTCTGTTCTGCCAGCAAAATTATATTTGCTGTTTCAGTGAGAATACTGTCCCAACTTGGTCAGTTTTTAAATACCTTTGGGTGTCTTTGGGTATTGTGACCCCAAGGCAGCAGGGGAGAGATGGCCAGAGACCTGGAGCCAAGAGCCAGCCTAGCCGAGCAGATGGACGCATCAAGCCCAAATGCTGCAGGTTCCTCATCTAAGGTGAAGAAACAAGGGTGAGCAGATAGGAGGTGTGGTTGGTAACAACCAAACAAAAGGGACTGAACAGATTGTGGCTTGAAGTTTTTTTTAATCAGTAGAGTATGCTGCTGCACAGAAACGAAACCAACATTTTTGAGCCTGGTGTCAGGAGATGGCTATGAGCCCTTAACAAGGTCGGCTGCTGTGCTTCGTAGGGTAATCCGTATTGAGAACATGGGCTCCTGCTCTGTTAGCTACAGCACTAGCTCAGTGTCACACTGGATATTCTGAAAGATAAGGTATTAGCATCTCAAATTGGTTGCTAAAAATTGGTAGATGTTTTTGACCTTGATCTTTCCCCTGAGTGGGGTCCATGTCTGTAGAGGAATTAATCTGACAGTGAGATGATACCACCTGATTTCACAGGGGTGTTGGGAAAGTATGTTCATTATGAAGATTGGACGTTTTAGTTATGAGTAGCATAAGAAAACCCCTGAGTAAATTAGTAATTCTGGCTTCAGAGTGTTGTTTGAATAGGCATAGCACCTCACACGGAAGAATGCAATGAAACAAAGTGTTGAATAATTTTGCAGTGAGTGTCTGCTGTGTATTGAATGAAGCCAGGACTTGTTGAGGAAGTGCGTGTTATTGTATAATAGAAGAAATGCCATAAGACACAGAAAGGTTTGATCTAACTTTTTAGTGGTTTGGGCATAACTTTTCCTATGTGGTCTCTATCAAGCTTCTCACTGTATATACGTTTTAAGTCAGATGGTGTTGAGAAGAAAGGAACTTACAATTAAAAAATATAACACACAGCAACGGAATCTATTAATCTATCTGTTAGATTTAGTTTCTTTTTCTAGTCTATACTTGTTACTAATTTATACAATTCTAGCCAAGGAATGTCTTCAGTGAGAAGCAATATTTTCACAGTATTAATTTTATGTTGTCAGTCCAGTTAAAATAAGTATTTCAATTGTTCTGGACTTAAACAAGCTCTTTACGTAAAGGCTTTCACAGGGGGCTCTTAGTTAAAAAAAAAAACTACCTTAGCACTTAGGGGAATCTGTAAGGAATATTTGCCCCTCTTGTGGAAAAGATAGGAAATAGCAGTAGGTAGTGTATATGGTGGAAACTCATTTTAATGGGTGGATGGATTTTCTATGTATGGGATGCTACTTTCATTATGCTGAATGAATTATTTTAACTCTTGTTATTTTTTGGCTTTTTAGAGAAGTGTGAGCAGAATTTTCTGGAAAAGGAAATTACATGAAAGATCCCTCTTACCTGTACTGAACCGATCTTTTGCATTTATAGAATGCAAATGCATCTATAGAATTCAAATGCTTTGAAAATGGGGACCAAGGAAGTAATAAATTAACCGTGTTGGAAATCATACTTTTTCAATCATTTTGCTAGAGTTGCTTTTCTTGCCAAAGTCTCCTGTCTTAAATGGCCATGGGATGTTGCTTCTGGGAAAGGCTAGAGGGTAGGATGAGTTAGTTCACTTAACAGCTGAACTGTATATTTAGGTGTCGTGTTGGCTTGGTCATTTGCAAAAGAGCATTTCGGGAATGTGATGTTGAGACTTTAATGACAGTTTCATTTATATGAACTTAATCTGTTAAATATCAGAGTCCTTTTAACCAAAACCAAATACAAAGAGATCACAGAGGCACGAGACAGGAGAGGAATTCCTTAGCTCCTTTTATTGTCCATCTAAAGGAATAGAAAGGAACACCCTATGTTACTCAAAAAGTAAACCTACTCAGACTGTGCCAGTTTGGGATAAAATAATTTACTGGGTTGATGACCCATTGTGGATACCTTGCTATCTGTTCATTCCCCTATGAGGAGAAGCTGTTAAGTTGAATTATCTCACCTGCTTACAGTAGCTGTGTCATGCATGAAGCACAGCAGACTCAATAGAGTTAAGCCCAGTATTTTGGACATCAAACCTATTAAAAAGAAATAAAATTGTCTTCAAATTCTGAAGTGCTACAGTCCTCCTGTGTTGAGAAAACAAAGACAGAAACAAATGTCATAGTAATCGTTCTTGATAAAGAAATAAATCTCTCTTCTCTAGTGTAAAATGTGATTTTTTTTTTCTTTCTGTTTTTTTTAAGGGAAATCTGGAATGGTTAGGCATATAAACCTCAAATTCAATTTGAGATTGAGACATTGTGTGGAAGAAGGTAAAATGTGAAGAGGTCTCTACTACTTTTAATTTGCAATCTAAATACTGCATTAGGAGTGCCAGAAGACTTTAATCTTGAAAATTTTATGTCTTTTGAGAAATTTTTAAAATCGGCCCTTAGGTCAATTTAACTAGGGTATCTGGACTCTAGTGGAATTTCTAGCTTTTTGTCATGAATCCTGAGAAAATTAAATATTAAATTTACCATATGCTAGAGTTCCTAAACTAGGTTTTCCAGGAATTATCATCAAATATGTCTAAAAGCAAGTATTTCCTATGATGATTTTTTTTAACCCTGAAAAACAAAAGAAAAATTTTTCTGATGGCCACCAAATTTCTAGGCATGCCTTTTGTGATTGTATAACAATGCACACAAAAGTGAGATTTAGTGTATCTACTGCAGCATTTCGCTGATAATCTAAATATGGGTATCTGGCTGCTTGACCAGCATGCATGTACAATATAAGATCATAGAATCACAGAATGCTTAAGGTTGGAAGGGACCTCTAGAGGTCATCTGGTCCGACCCCATTGCACACGCAGGGTCACCTAGAGCACGTGGCACAGGACTGCGTCGAAGCAGGTTTGGAAGATCCCCCGAGAAGGAGACTCCACAACCTCTCTGGGCAACCTGTTCCAGTGCTCTGTCACCCTCCCTGTTAAAAAAAACATTTCCTTAAGTTCCTGTGGAACTTTTGGTGTTTCAACTGTGGCCACAAACTGTGGCCATTACCTTTAGTTCTGTCGGTGGCCACCAGTGAAAAGAGGCCAGCACCATCCTCCTCACTGCCTCCCTTGAGGTATTTATAGACACTGATCAGATCCCCTCTCAGCCTTCTCTTCTCCAGGCTGAACAGGCCCAGCTCCCTCAGTCTCTCCTCATAGGACAGATGTTCCAGGCCCCGATCATCCGTTTTTAGCAACAAAGTCACTATATAGTTCAAGAAGAAACAACAGCTTGTACTATTGCTTCTCAGTTAGACTGGCTTCTTCCACCAGGAAAGCAGTGATACCAGCAGCTTCCTTGTTCCCCTGCTTTTTGGAAGTTTTGACAGTTATTTTTGTCCACTAACAGTGCTTGTCACCAGTATCTGAATTTCAGTAGAAGGGACGTGGTTAAGGAGCTGTTTTAAGCACCTGTGGTTTTCTGCAGCTCATTCAGCCTCAGCGTACGTGTGGTCTCAAGTTGTCGCGTTGCTCTGGGGCCCTCTTCTAGTTTTCATTTCTGTTTTTCTGCTCTCTTCTTAAATTACTACAGATTATTGGATTTAGGAGATATTGTAGTACTAATATCTGTACATCCTTATATTCCTTATACTAGTCCTTTGTATGAGATGCTCTGGAGGAGGGAGATTTTATTTAGTAGCTGTAGTCTTCTACAGCTTCCCTTTGAACTGAGTAGCTGCTAAGAATTCTGTGTGTTCCTGATAATGGAACAAACAGAGACTATTTTTAATTAAAGGAAATTGATCAGTGAACCATAGTTCAGTTTTCATCTATTGATTGACTTTTTTTCCCACGTGTTTGCTTACTCTGCAAGACCAGTTTGGGTTTAACAGGGCATTTTTCCATTTAATGCCTACCGAAGGTACTGCACTTCTCTCAGGACCTACAATACTAATGCTTAAAATCATTTTCCTTATCCCAAGAATGCTCACAATATAGGGACATGTGAAGCCCCACTCCTTAATACCCAGAGGCCCTTAACAAAGCCTATCTGGGTTTGTTGTGCCAAAGTTACTCGAGTTGCTTGACCATAATCCGTGTCTGTACCTGCATATTTACAGTAATAGCACTGCATGATATTTTCTTGGGCTTCTTATGGGCTCAGTGCCAATCGGATAGTCTGTCCCATTTGCAATAAGTAGCTCCAGAAATTTGCCAAAAATTGACTGTTTCTAAAGAAAGTTGTGAAAGCAAGGAGTATTCGCTTGTGTCCTTTTTTGAAGCTTTTCTATGTGACATCTTATGTCCAAGTCTGGAAGAGATCGTCGCTTCTTTGAATATGGTGTGATCTCATCGAAGCTTCAAAATCCTTATTTTAACTAGGCTCAAAAATGCATGCCATAAATATTAGAAACTCTTAGATCATGAAAGAGTAACAGTTTTTGACTATGGTTTTGTGAAGGGGGGTTGTTAGTTACAGTTCTTTGTCATACTAGGTGGTAATATAGTGAATAAATGTAACCTTACTGTAGGTTAGTATTTCAAAAGAAAATTTTAAAGTTTCTTCACCCCTCAAGCCACTGCATAAAATGATTCTATTGTGTGAGATGTTAAGAGACCATGATGCTTCTTTTAGGTATCTATTTGATAAGAGGGAGATGTGAACAAGCTGGAAATAAGCCAGGCACTCTGTTATTAACACGATGCACAGTGATACAGGGTAGTGAATTCTCATTGTGACTCTACAAAGCGGTAATGAAATTCTAATTTAAAAAGCAAACAGAAAACCTCTACATTGCACCATGGGGACCCAACACATTTTATCATATTGTATTGTGACTAATATTAATATTGTTAATTAACAAGCTTTCTTGAGATCTAGGAACATTACGGCAACAAGTTTTTGGTTTCTTTCAAAGCTGATTAATCTTTCTCAGTACTTCTAAACAAAAAAGTGGTGAAATGAAATGATCTGAATTACTTACTTGCCCAGAGATCAAAAAATGAAATATACTGTAGTTAACTGAAAAATAATTGCAGTATTCCACTTTAAACCATTTATTTACTTTAAAATCAGAACACAGAAATTGTTGTGCGGACAATTGGGAGCAAGACTAGATCATCTTTTAGAGTAGCCAATATGTATCTTCAGAGGAAAATTAAGCTTAACGGAACTAAGGCCATTTTAGTTCTCACTGAGAGATTTCACACAGGGGTTTAATGGGATTTAACTAACAGACTTTGAATTCATACCGTTAATTAATTTGGCTTAAATTTCTTCAGTAACCCCATATAGGCAAGACCTAAGTGGCTAAGTATTCCTTTCCCTGTATAAGTCCGTTGTCTGTATTGACTGTATCAGCTAATTTTCCACTACTGGATTTTCTACATAGTGCTTTCTTCTTGTGCTCCAGCAGTCAGTTATTTAAACAAAAATTTAAAAGCAGCAATAGCAAAAGGGAGTTTTCAGTAGAAGAAATAAGTGACACCTTCCTTTATTTCTTGGTACAGGGACAAGGAACAGCTAGTTTGGTACTTTGATTCACCTTTTTCTTTTTTTTTTTTTTTTTTCTCTTCTCTCTCCTCTCTGCAAAATTGATTACTGCTTAGCTTCTTTGCAAAAAACTTAGGGTTTTGGCATTAGGAAGTGTAAAATAGGCATCAGTTAGCTAGCAAAAACTTATTTAAAATATTGTTTAAAAAGTTGGGCTCCACCTCCCAACTGTCGGTTTCATTTTTGTATTACTCTGAATAACTCTTCTGAAGTGTTCCTACAGAGGAAGGGAGGAAACTGTTCTTTGTTAGAAAGCTGTACTAACCTGATGTGCAATCAGATATGTTCAGATGGCTCAGTTGTAATTTTCACTGCTGTATGATGTTGATAGCGGCTCTGTTACTGCTTTTCAATACTAAAGATTGCCTTTCTTCAGCTTCAGACTTCCCCTGTTTGTCTTGGTTAGTAAAACATTGATGACACTTGTTCTTTCTAATTCCTTGTCTTTTTGCAAGTTGATAGGAAAGTTGATCGTTTTGTTACGGGCTACTTGGGGCTATTCTGTGGTGGGCAGAGGGTGTGTTCCTAGGAGCCTGGGAGAATGATTTAATCGTGGGTCATGTGTTACAGAAGACATATTCGCTGTGTTTTTACAGGTCCAATGATGCACCAGCAGCCTCCCTCGCAACAATATAATATGCCACAAGCAGGTGGCCAGCACTACCAGGGACAGCAGCCACCCATAGGAATGATGGGTCAAGTTAACCAAGGAAATCACATGATGGGTCAGAGACAGATCCCTCCATACAGGCCACCGCAGCAAGGTAAGAAGTGTCTTGATATCAGTTTTGAATAACCACCTGCAAAATTGTTTTAAATCACTTTCTTGCTTACATTAAATCTGGATCAAGTTATTTTGAGTCACAGTTGCAAACTGTGTGGACTTCTGTTACCTATCTGTCATTAGGATAATTTTCTGTAATCCTCTTAGGGCTGGATCTTGCAGCAACAAATTCCTGATATTGCTGTGAAACTTGGAAGACAAATATTTCTTCTCTTTTGAGTTCTTTCTCACAGAAAGGATCTCAAAGAATGCATCTCAAATATGCTGATGCAGAAATCTGTTTCTATGTGAAAATGACTGATAGATATAGAAAAGGAACAGAATACCTTCCTGGTTCTGAATTAGCTCTTTTTTTTTTTAGAAAAAAAAAAAAGGGGGGGGGGGGCGGGGGACAAAATATTGCACAATCTTGCTTTTTTTTGTCTTTGCAGACCTTTTAGAAGGGGAGTAATCTTATTTTTGCCTAGTGTTTTTACATACAAGTTCATAAAATAAACTCAGAAATTAAGTATGATATCAGTGTGCTCAGATCAAGTGCGACCAGAGGACTTTGTGTTTATCTGTGTGGGTGTGAGTGTGTATTTTAAGTAAACCAGATTACATATGTTGTCTGAAATGCAACAATATGGGTGGGGAGTACATTTGAGAAATATTTCTCATACTGAAATCAGAAATTAGAAACCTTTATAATAGAGAAAACAAGTTATTTACGTATTGACTGGTTGTGGTTTTTCAGGCCCACCACAGCAGTACTCAGGCCAGGAAGACTATTATGGGGACCAATACAGTCATGGTGGACAAGGTCCTCCAGAAGGCATGAACCAGCAATATTACCCTGATGGTAATCTCTCATAAATGTTAACTTTCCCATTTTCTATACCTGCCCAATATTAATGTAGACATTACATTGCCCATAATTAGGAAACGGGGCAAGAATAGTGATTTGAGTATCATACCTTGCATTTGCAGAAACTTCCCAATTCGGAATTGTTACTAGAGCTTAAGTTGTTATGATTAGTTAACGTTACAACTTAAAGTATGTCATTTGTAATACCTTCACTTGTTACTATATCATCAGTATCAGTATTTCAAAATGAAGATTCTGTAATTGGTTTGTCTAGAAGTATGAGGGGTTCATTATTATATGTAGTATAATTGTGCTGAATTAAAATAGTCATAACTATAATAAATAAGAGGGGGGCGGGCATGGGAAAACTTGCTAAAGGCATGTGGGTTTTTTCTGTTTTTATTTTTTTTTACTTAGCTTTTAGTTTTAATATAAGTCTCAAAAATGTCTTACTATTGATACGTTATGGACCTTTAGCTTAATTAATGTTTTGCAAAGGCATAAATTAGTCCCTGCCCTGAGGAGCTATTAATTGTGAATCCCATTTAAAAGTCCCCCGGAGCTTTCAAGAAAAGACCTTGACTTTGAATCGCACAAAAGGATTCTTCTGCTGCTTTGGAGTCCTGAAGGCTCCTGGATTGTGTTACAAGTTGGGAGAGTTGCAGTTACTTCTTTTCAGTCTGAGCACAGACTCTTGGCTACTGTGATAACTCTCTCTGCAGCTTAATGGTATCCTAGGAAATTCAAGAAAAGTGGTAGAGAATAATGATTTAAAAATATATGCAAAGCTGTACACTTGCTAAAATATCTCATTGCAAATAGAAGGACACAAGCCAGTTGCTTTAATTTATTTGTTATTGAATGAATTGTTAAGACACTCAGGACCATATCTAAAGATCCTGCATATAAGCTTACACATGCTATTTTTGGATACATACATGCAAAGGTTTTACAGGTTGCCTTCACTTATTATTGAGCTTTCATTTTGGGACTCTTATGTCATGCACGTGACCTTTAAATGCTTACAGGTAATTTACTGCAGTAAGGGAAATTGGACATTATCACTGACAGCTCTGTGGCAGCTCAGATGAATTTGCTAAGACTTATTCCTTGTAAAGATATATTCTCTATAACTGTCTCATTATTACTGTTACACAGAATGTAAAAGGAATATATTATGAAACTTATGTTAATGGTTATGTATTTATATTAGATTCAGTCAATGAAGTATGATACAGTTGCAGAACTAATTGTAAGGACCTTTTAGATCTATTTTCTTCTTATTTTGGCTACCCAGTGTAAATTTATCCCAGATTTTAACAAAATTTCATATTGTTTTCGTGATCAAGTTAGCAGTATGATATGTTTTGGTTATCTGCAAATGTATTTATCTTAAAACGGCCAACAGGTAGGGCGCTTACTTCAGGTATTGGTTGCTTTTTCGGAGGTGTCTGTAGTCTCTGGAAAGGAAAGTTCTCTTGTAATGATTTTCCTTGTGACTGGAATGTAAAATGGGAGGAGTTTTCTTACAGCTTCTAGGAATTCTGTTTGTAGGGACAAGTAAACATTGAATTTTTTTTTCCTCTTGTTTCAGAGAAAAATTTAATATAGATTTGTTCAAAACCCCTTTTGAGCTTTATTTGCTGTATTTCACACTACTTTTAGCATATGGTTTTGAACTGGAGATCAGCAGAACAGGTATTAGTCAAAGTATGATAATTGCTTTCTTTGTTCATTCTAATTTAATTCAGGTTATTTACATGTGAAAGGCCTAAATGCTTTCATTTTTTTTTGAGTGAAAGATAAAGTACTTCCACCCCCCCGCCCCAACAAGGATTACCAGAAGGTTAAGACCATCCCTTGCTGTGATGTAGCTAAAACTACTGCATTAAGCCTTTTTTTTTCCTGTCACATGTTAATTCAGTACTAAAGGAAATCATATGAATAAATCTTTGGCTAGTACAATTGAAAAATCTTTTTCATGTATTTCCAGTTGATTTTTTTTTTCATTTTTCTGAAAGATTAAATATTTTTAGGGTTTTCACTCAGAGGCCATTAACGTTTCTTCCTGTCTCTTGTCGAATTGATGTAGGTCATAATGATTACGGTTATCAGCAACCGTCGTATCCTGAACAAGGCTACGATAGGCCTTATGAGGATTCCTCACAACATTACTACGAAGGAGGTATCTATATACCTTCACACACATACGCACATACATCCCCTTTCCTCCCTCACCTGCAGCGGGAACAGAAATTCTTGCACAACACACCTGATACCCATGCAAAGCTCTTGTAGAATACTAGTTGCTGGCTGTCTTGAAAATTGCAGGGAACTTGGAAGCATTCAGAATAATTTCTTGCAAACACCTAAAACGTATAACCATAATTTGCCATGTCTAACAACAATAAAATGACTAAAACACTATAGAGATTTTTTTTTCCCCTCAATGGAAATTTTTGTTTAAACATAAATTTGTTGGTTCAGTTGTATATTTTCTTTTTGTGTGTGTATATATTTTGTATAATTATAGTGCCGTTAGGAAACAGCTTGCTGATCTTGTGTAGCTAGTCTGTGCTCTTGTAGCTGTCCTTAACTTTGTCTTTTTTATTTTATTTAGCATAGTCATGATCTTATGACTGTGATGGTCCAGTAAATGTAATGCTCGTTTGGCAGAGATGCTGAAAATGCTGCAGTTCAACTTTGCAAAATTGGCTTTAACTGCAGTTTGTTTGGCCGAATTCCTTCTGTTTGGTTTGAGTTTTCTTTGTTTCGTTCAGTTTTTGAAATCAGTATTGCATTTTCATTCGTTCTTGTGTTGTTGGCTGTGCATCTTAGAAGGAAAAAATAATAAAGTAAATATCTTTAATTTTCTTTTCTTTCTTTCTTTCTTGCAATCATATTACAGGAAACTCCCAATATGGTCAGCAGCAAGATGCATATCAAGGACCACCGCAACAGCAGGGTTATCCACCACAACAGCAGCAATATCCAGGCCAACAAGGCTACCCAGGACAACAGCAGGGTTATGGTAAGAACCTGAAGACACACAGACAATAATCATGGGAAAGACTGAGTGAGATCCTCATATGTTTTTCCACCGCAGTTTTACTGGGTAGAAAATCCATCTTTGCCAAAGAGCTCTATACCTTCCATCTCAGTGGGCCAGAACGAGAAGGAGCAGAAGAATGGCATCCGTTGGGAAGTGGGTGTGGTTGGTTTATTACAGGTTGATAGCATGGCAAACTGAGGAACTTCTAGACATTTTTTACACAGGAATCTGTAATTTAAAAAGATTCTGAGAGACTCTGCTGTTTTATCTGTAGCTGAACATAGAATCAGGAGGGCACGAAGATGGCAAAAAGTTGTTCTCACATCTTTGTCTCTGATTTTGTTGTTCAGAATTGCAACTCCTATAAACTAGTGTAAAGTTTCATAGAGTCTTTATGAATCATCTTTAAATTCTTGCACTGATCAATGAAGAAATTCACTAGGCAGCATCGTCAATGCAGCTTTGGGAAGTATTTGTCTTAAAGTATTGCCCTGGTAGTGAAAACTTCCTAAAGCTGTTGTCGCACATGACACAAAAGAAATCTTTTGCCACATAAGATGATACCATTCTTGGATTCGAGGACATTCTTCCTAACAGGAAGCTTACAGTACTTGTATATGTTTGTTGGGATATCACTTTTAAAAAAAAAAAAAAAAAAAAAAAAAAGGAGGGGGAGGGGGACAGACAGAAGGTCATAGTGAAAACACTGACTTTAAGTTTTCCTTGCTTTAATATTGTACATATTTATTGTAGAAGCAGCAGCCTTTAGAAAGAAATCTCTGAAATACAGTTCCATATAATTTAAAATTTAGTTTAGTTGCAGGTTTAAATAGTAAGAATTCCTGGTTGTGGTTATGCAAGGAAGTACATACCATGTTTGTTTGCCATCTAGATAAATACTAGTTTCACATCAAGTCTCATTATGTTGAGGTAGAGTTAAGCTTTAAAAGGATCCACTGAGATTTGACAAACTTGTTGAGGGTATGGGTGAATTAGTAGTTCAAATAATGTTCACTTATATTCCACTAAGTTTAACACAAGAACAGCATGAAGGTCCATCCAGCCCAGTATTCTAAATGTTGTAAACAAATAAAAGTTTGTAATTTAGCCAACACAAAATCAGTTCTCCAAATAGAAAGGGCCAATTAAAAACAAAATCACACTAAGAAGTGTGATTGTGTCTGCCTTAGATGAGGCACTTAGGGACATGGTTTAGTGCGCATGGTGTTGAAGGGTTTACGGTTGGACTTGATGATATTCAAGGTCTTTTTCAACCATAATGATTCTATGAAATAAATCTGACTGATTAAGAGATCATAGAGGAAAGGGATCAGGAAATCCACTGGAGTTGCCAAAATCTGTATACCTAGATAGCTTGTTCTCAATTTCCTTTTTTTAAGCAAAAATAGGTATTAAGATCCCAAGTAAATAAATACGAAATCTGTTTTACAAAATGTCTTAGTGACCATTTATAATTTTACTATGAAGAATCACTATAAAGAATTCCTGTGAATAAATGAACCCAAGTTTTATTTGTCAGATGAGCACAGCACTTTTTAGGATGCAGTATCCTTGCTTGATTTAGGATTTAATTGGTTAAAAATAGAAATAAAAATAAAATAAAAGAATAAAGAATAAATCTGCTTCCCGGCCTTATTATCAATCTTCTAAGTTTTGTCCCACTGCAGAAAGGTGAAACTCTGTAGTTCAAGGGGATTTGGGGCCTGAGAAGAAAGGCAGTAGCCTGTGGAGCTTTTTTGTTCCAGGCCATCTTTCTAAATCTCTCATAGATTCAAAATGTATCAAAAGTTATCAGCCTATGTTGTCTTAATGTTCAGTGCCAGTAGCTGTAACTGCAGCACTGAATTACAGTATAGCTAAGACATACCCATTTTTTTCCTGAAAAAATTGCTTTGCTCAGAAAGCACTTCGTAGAGAGTTGCAGGTATTCCTGACTCCCCTCATGAAGGAGAGGTGCTGCAGAAGGCAAGCAGTCAGCTCGGGGTCCCAGTTACACAGGCAGCACCTTCTCCTACTAGGCTGGCAGCGCGTGGAGGTCACTTGGTCTGGGGCACGTCTGCGCTGCCTTGTGGTAGCAACATGCAGCTTCCAGTGGTCAGCTGACTGGAAGAAAAAGTCCCTACAAGTGGTGACAGTTTGCATAGGCAGGAGAACTCTTTCCTTTTACAGACCAAAAAAGCTGGAGCCAAAGTTATTTTCTACCCTTTTCCTGGAAAGTTGCTGTTACCAGAGTAGGAGCGAGTGGAGGGCATCTTGTTTCACTCCACAATAGCATTTCCTGGTTGTCACATCTCACATTTTATTCAGCAGCCTGTCTCCCTGTTTATGATTGCCTGCCGTGGTGTGAGAATGGGCTGCTAGGCTGTGCAGCACTGCTAGTCTCTTCAAAAGTACAAGTGCTAAACCCAACTGCTCTTTGGCTGTGCCTGGAATTAAAAGGCTTTGACTTGGAGCAGCAGCGTATGGCAGGAACAGGGTACCTCCTTAATGCTACGAAGTGACAGGGTTCCTGCTGTATCTTCTTGTCTTGTCCTCCCTGCCCTATGGCCTACACCTAGTGTGTGGAACTATATGCATTGGTAATGCAAAAATAAATAAATGAATAAATAAGAGGTAAGTACACAAGTTGGAGCACAGGCCCTGTCAGCTAAGGTGCTTTCAGTGATCTGTTACACGTTTTTAGGTAGATGACCTTAATGCACAGTAGTGCTGTTTTTGAGCCCCTCTCAGTTATAAAATGCAATGCTTTTACCGCTGCTTCTTTATAACACCTTTACCCGAATTTTGTTCTGTGACTTCCAGGCCCTTCGCAGAGCGGCCCAGGACCTCAGTATCCCAATTATCCACAAGGGCAGGGCCAGCAGTATGGGGGATACAGGCCCACGCAGCCTGGGCCACCACAGCCACCACAGCAGAGACCTTACGGATATGACCAGGTATGCCTCCATTTGATTTGTTGTGGTTCTTATATGCTCATTTGGTAATTTCAGTTGTTGCAGGCATTTAAACTCATGCATTTGAGAGCATAGTCTCTCTGCTGTGTATACGCAACTCTTGTGCTTTTATTCCCATGTGGCTTGTTCAGAAATACTTCTCCAGAGGGATGATTAGTCGTTCTTTTTTGAGTTTGTAAAGTTGAATGCAGTTCAGCAAAGTGTGGACCTACAAACCCTGTTTTTGAACCTTAGTGACTGTTGTGAAAGTTGAGACTCCTAAATCTCATGTAGGATCATTTTCATTACTGCCTTGCATTAAGAATTGTTGAATTAATTTTCCACAAAAACAAATCCAGTAATGCTACTCTCCAGCAGCAGAAGTACCTCACGTGAGCAACTAAAGTCCCTGTATTGTAGGACTGTGATGGGAGAGGACTCCTGTAAAACTGTTTTCTCAATAAAGCATGAAGCAGAGGTTTTATTCTCGTAGAAGTTTAACTAAACTTGAACGTTTAATTTTAGCAGTATAAATAGTTCAGGAACATCGCTGCAGTAAACACTATTGCTTGGCATTACTAAAATTGACATAACTGAACAGATCCTCAATCAAATGATAGGATATAGTGTTTGAAAAAAATGTGATAGGTCAGTAAAGAGTTAGTTGAATTTTTAACAAGAACTTACTCTTACAAGTGAGAATAGTTACAGTTATCTGTATTTCCAAAGGACAGTAGTTTGCTTCCTTTCTGCAGAACTTAGAAAAAGACAGTGAAGAAGGAACACATAGAGGCTTTTGGTGTGACAGGTTAGAGCTGCAATTAGGTCAAGCACTGAATTAATACCTTACTTACGGAAAGAAAAAAGTATAGAAAAATGCTTTGCTTATGGCAAACATAGTGAAAGAATGTCGGTTTGCTGAGTTCTGGTTTCCTTTGTGACAGAAATATGTGGCTCTGTTGGTACGTTCTAGTCTTCTAGTTCGTGCAACCTGAGTTCCACTGGGAAATTCAATTATGGAAGGCCTTCCCACTCTTTCATACTAGCCAGTCCCATAGGAACTGCACTGCATAAATACTCATCTGGCAGCTGTTCTGAAACTCTCCTTCCCAACTAATCAGTGTATTACAATGAAAAAAAAAAAAAGTGACATTGCAATATAAAAATGGCATTTAAAGCATTGCCTTAATGTGGTCGTATTTACCTGAAATGTTGACAGAAAAAAAAAAGAGGCAAACGCACTTTGAAGAATGTTTACTTTATGGCACACTAACTAAAGCTCGTGGTAAGTCTGTAGCATTGAGGCTTTCATCTCTGCCCTTCTTTTCAGTAAATCACACCCGATATCTCTGTCAAAGCAAGCAGCAGATATGAGCAAGGGGAATAATTCTGTGGATCAGATCTGGGGAATAAATGATTCCTGTAGGATAAGTTGATTACTTAATAATGTTTAGCATAATGTGCCTTGATTGTTGAGTGACTCGCATCAGTCTATTTTTTGATGCTTGATATATGAATGTCTTAGGTGTGTCTGAAAGCAGTTTAGTTTTCTAAACTTCTTTGAGTGTAGGTGACCTTGTCTTTTTAAATAGTTAGATGTTTAGCTGGGAAGTAATTCCTATCTCTTATTTTTGGTGATACTCTGCAAATTTCCTAGTGTGCGCTGTATTTAAAGACGTACAATTTTAGTTTTAAATCCATGGCATTATTTTAATGTGTATACATTAAAACATAAAAGATTTAGTGAGATAAAATTTCGTGCTGTTCAAATCAATTTGCCACTTACTGTCGTATGTTTACACCATTTAACATCACAGTTCTTTTATTGGTCTTTTGATTTCAACTTTTAATACAAGAAAGCTATCTATTGGTCTAATTTCATATTTTGGTTTTCCTTTTTAGGGTCAGTACGGAAATTATCAACAGTGAAAAAATACTCACATTCCAGTAGGCAGTATCTATTAGCAGCCATATTGTTTCCTCAGCACTGTGGACATCTTCCTGAGATGAGAACTTCCCAATCCATCTAGTTTTTGGAAAAATCTTGTGGGTAAATGGCTGTTTGACAGTATGCAGCCTTCATGGGTTAACTGCAAAAGACTGTAGTTTTTCAGAAACTGATTTCACATCTCTACTCTAGATGGCAATATTGGACAGAAAATATGTGACATAACAACTTGCAGTGAGCTGAGAACTGTATATCAAGTAGACTGTTACAGACGGAAAGGTGCGAACAGCTTTGTATGTTTATGAAGGTTATGGGAATTTAATATTTTTTCCACAGATTTTTTTTTGTAGGGGGAAAGGGGAAATGCACACTTTTTACAACAGCAATATTTTGTATATTATGTTTTTCATATGGTGAATATGCAAGGCAGTACACTACTCGCTGGGCAGGATAGGAAGTCTGCTGTTAAAATGGGTAGGGGCATGGTAAATGCTTGATGGTGTAAGTCCTCGAAATGGTGTACAATAAAGATAACAGTGAGAAAAGGCAGAGAGCCTCACACATCACTGATAGGTTCATGTACAAAGAATAAGAATCCCAGTTATCTAAATGGGAACGTAATTAAGGACAGTATAATATAGTCTTGTGCAAAGGTTAATTTTTTAAGCTTTACAATTTTTCTGAGTGAAGCATTTTTTGTAAAAATTATTTCTAATATAGTTTGACATTTTCCTGCAACATTTTTGGGGTAACAAGGTAAACGTTTGGGTCATATCTCTTACCTGTGTTTTGTCACAGCTTCACAACAAGCACGCTGTAATCCCTGCTAATAATTGCAATAACACAGAAAATGCCAAGTGTGAATTTTACATGGCTTGAATATGCAAAGAACTCAGAAAAGATTACCGAGAACAGGACTGTGTTATCTAAGTGTATTTTAACCTTTAGTTGAATAATTTGTATGTATCAAAATAGTCTAGAAGACTGTAAAACCTATCTAAACTTTCCTAACTGGGAGTTAATATCTTTAGACAGGGGGCATTTTGTGTGTGGTGTCCGTTTTTCTTACTGGTGAACGTGAGACCAAGGGATGTCATAGAACATCACACCTAAAACCTGTTGGTGAGGTAAATGCCAAATTTTGTTTTGAACTGCATTATTGCTTATAGTGTTGCATGTGAGATAGACGCAGCACCTTGATCAGTAGCATAGTAAACAAATTGGGTTTGAAACTGTCCTGCAACTATATATCAGATAAATTAATGGCTATTCTATTGTGCAGGAATATATGCATACAAGAATTCCTGGCAACTTTTATAAAGGATGTAACTTAAAAAATAGCCCTGGAGTAAAATTGTACTTTTTCAGTTGCAATCATGTTTAAATAGTTTTTTTTTGTTTTTTTTCTGGTTTTTTTTGTTTGTTTTTTTGTTTTTTTTTTAAAAAAAAGCGTGCATAGTCTGTGTATGACCTTATACTTGGAAAACAGGATTTTCAATTTGTTCATCATTTTTAAAAGGAAAAACAATTTTCTTTTACTTAAAATTGTTTGATAGAAAATAAACATCAAAGATTGAAGAGATACGGTATGAGGAGCATTATTATGAATGAAATGCTTGTAGGTTCTGTGCCAATTTTCCACCACTGTGTACTTCATTGCTATTTAAAACTGTACTCCATCAATTCTAACGGAAGAATAAATTATTTGTGATTTTAATTTTCTCATTTGTTTCTTTAAATTAGATCTCTATCGCTCTGATGTCTCATCTGGAGACCCTGCTGTGCGTTTTTATTATATAGAAGTTGGGCCGGGATAACCAAACTGTATTTACATTGTAGGACTTTTATCAAAATTCTCTTGCCATAGCCAACTTAATTAGAATTAACTGTTCAGTAATCAGCATGTTGTGTAGGTTGTTTGTTAGGAAATTCTTCCTGAAATTGAAGGTCCATGAGGCTATAATCAATATGACTGAATTAGATAAATGAGTTGAGGAGGCAAAAATGTGTTGAACCCAACCTGGTGTAGATATGTTATCTCATTTGAAACAAGCTCAACTGACATTAAGAAATAATTTGTCTTGCCAGCCCATCTTCTGTTGTCTTATTCTCTCTTTTAATGGAAACTAAAATTGCAATTTTAATAAGCAGAATTTCCTCCAGGGTTTCCCTCCTAGAGACTACTGCATTTGCAAGGTTTAATTGTTTTATAACGGTCCTGTTTCGTAAAAGTTTTTAATTGGTGGTGACAAAAATTGCCCTATTCCTCTGATACTGTGCTGCAAGAGAGGTGATAGCTCTACTCAGAAGTGAGCGTTTCCACTGAAACTCTGTATTAAGGAACATCAGCTTTCCCTAAACAAAAAACAAGCAGGAATGCATAATGGGAGCCAGGTGATGAAACGGCAAGATACAGGGTTAACTTTACCAAGGATCCTTTATTGAATAAAACCAAACCAACGTGAAACTAGCAGAAAAGGTGCTGCATTTGGCATGTAGAATGCTAAGTGCAGAATGCAGAAAATAGGAGGGCTGGGACATGGGGGGGAAACCTGTGCAGCAAATCAAATAGGTGAACAGAAATGCTGGAAATGTCCTAAGAATAGAGACAGTAAATGAATTAAGTGGTGTGTGTGTTTTTTTTGTTTGGTTGGTTGGTTGGTTTTTTTTTCTCCTCACTTGTCATACTGTTGCAATTTTTGCCATTGCATTTTGCTCTTTTACGAAAAATCGTTGCATCAGAAAAGTCAGGTGGAATTTAGCCAGAACCCCCAAAGAAAATGTAAAAAGTGAGTAGCTGATTTTTCTTCATGGGTAATAGCTGCTGTAGCATAAAATAGGATTCTATTCTATAGGAGATATTCATTAAGGTTAGTTTATAGAGTATTCTAGAGAGACTATGAACTGAAGTTTAAAAAAGAAAAAAAAAGTGTTAAATACTATACCAGTTATGCTATATCCCCTGTAAATATATACTTACATCTCTCTGCCCCAAAAAGAACTATCTCCAACATCTGCCTCACATTTACTAGATTTTTTTTTTTGGCTAAAAAATCGTAAGTCTGATGGAATTGATCTGTATTTATATATTCACAAAGCTTTAAATTGAGAAGCTGCTGGACCAAACTGGACCAAACCAAAAGATGAACTGCCAGACACTGGAAAGTAGATAAGATCAGAGAGAGAGAGAGAACAGGAGTAAATGTTAAGTATCAGAAATGATGATGCTTGATGAAAGAAATAACAGAAATGATGATGCTTGATGAAGCTTGAGCTTCTGTATTGGGATCACTGATTAACATAGAGACCCGTAACATTTTTCTCTCTGCTGTATCAAACAGGAAAGAATAGGAAAGAATGAAGACTGCGTAAAAGTTTAACAGATAGGTATTGTTTGATTCAAAAATGATAGTGGCTAAAATAGATGTACATAGTAGAGAGTGCAACTTGAGCAAGGATGCAGGCAACATTTATTGAAGATGAGCAGCAATATATTTAAATTGATCATAGGAAATGCTTTTTATGAAATGCATAACTGCAAACTTGATCCACAAGACAGTATTGAGCCAGAGGCTCAGTAGGATTAAAAAATGAATTTTATATATCTATACATACACACACACACATAACATGCACAGTTACATCTGATCAGATGAAACATTATTTTGAAAGAATATAAAGCCTCAAGCTTCACAGCAGCCACAAAGCAGCGCACTAGAAGTTGGAAGAAATTCCTTTTGGTGTCTTAAAGACAGGAAATAATGGAAGAATTTAGATTTATTTTTATCACCTTTGTTACTAGACCCTTACTCTGGAAAAGCAACAGCAGACTGTTGGATTAGACTGCAGAACTGAAATGAAATGAAGATCAGAACTTATGTGACAGTCTTCTGTTCAGAAAATGACTTTTTTCCCAATGATAGTGAAATGAAGCATCACAGTAATGTGAATAGTGAGAAGCCTGTGATGTATTTGCTAATGTGCATTATTACTTATCCAAATAAATGTATTTCTAAATTATACAGTTATTACATGGCTTCTAAATCAGGTTTTTGTGCGTGTGTGAAATTGCTAATAAATCCAAAATGGGCCCTATTTTATTAATTTCTGTTTCTGGTCACTGGCATCACTGAAACACTGTGATTTTTTTTTTTTTTTTAGTTTTTTTTTTAGTTTTTTCCTCCCTCCTGTTTGAGGTCAGGAGTTGGTTGAGGAGTCGTGTTGCTGTCCCCTCCCCTGGCCAATTGCTCAGCTCATTTTCCGCCTCCCTTTGGTGCGTGGTGCTTTTGCCTCTTCGGAGGGAATGAGTGGAGCAGTTTTCGTTCTCGGCTTGTGCTAGGGCGGACTCATTGCTTCCCATGAAACACACCTGTGATAAAGGCCTTACTTCTGCCTCTCATTCCTGTCTGCATCTCAAGCTTGCAAGGTGTTGTGTGCTTTCACTCAACTCCTAGCTGTTTCCCGTCTGTTTCTCGTGACGTAGTTTTCAACAAAAATTCTTGACGGATTTAGCAGCATGTATGGTTTCCCATGCCTGGTATCTGATAATTTTATTAGTGTTTTTTTGTTTGATTTTGATTTTGTTTTTTCTTTGCTCATTCTTCTATAAATATATATTTTCAATTTCCCTTTACTGTTCTTCACTTGATCATAAATGAAAGTAGTTCAGTATGCCAATAGTTTTGCAGATTTTGCTCTAAAAGGATTGTGGGGATGGAAAAGAAGTTGCTAAAATATCCAAAGCTCTTTGTGAATTCTTCAGAACGCTACATTTTGCTCATTTGACCTGACATTTTTTAAGCAATTGGTGAATTGCCTTATTGCCTTTTGTATTGTGGTTCATTATTTTCCTTTCAGCTAAAAGTTAATTTTACACAGCATAAACTCTAATCACCTACTGCGGTAGGATGTTGCCAGGAGTGTGCTGGCATCTTGACATAGGTCCATTACAGATACTTCTGTAGAAAAACACCATTTGCTAGGGCAGCTTTGGTAGAAATTGGCATTTTGTTTTCATGAAATTAAGTTCTATCCATGCTAGTGCAAACTTTAAATCAAGTGAAGAATTTTCAGTCTGCAGTATTATGTTGCCTTTACATTTGTCCAGGAATAGCTTTTCTGGTTCACAGCCCAGCAGCTTCAGACCCCTTTTTCATAGAGTTACAGTATTAGCAAGTGCCACAGTTAGATTTTCTATCCAAATAATACTGGCTACGGTGTTAGTTGTTAAAATACTTTATTGTCAAGTCAGTATGATGTCAATCTGAAAGGTTATTGATCTGCTTTTATTTTATTTTTTTGTTTGTTGGCAATTTGTAGTTTAAAATACGGTAGAGTTGATGTCTATAGGACACGCACGTTAGCAGTGACCTCCTAACCAGGCTCTCCTGCTCTACCCTGCAGTTATTGTTTAGTGAAAGCTAGTCATCATCAGAATGAGAACGTGATGGTAGGTCTGCACTACCACTTTGTATCGGGTAATTTGAAATGAGTTAATGTGTCTCCTTTTGCTGAACTGCTTGCACTTCCACTAAGAGTTTTGC